ATTTCCTATTAATTTCCGCTATCTAATTGTCTTCTCCTTTCCAGTCTTCTTTTTTTAATTTGATCTACTCTCCTTCTGTCCGCTACAGTACTACACCATACTTCCATTATCATCAACCTATGCTRTGCTATTATTACAGTCTCCAGGAATTACTATACAATCCTTTATTCTTTCTATACTGTCTCTCTTCCAAATACAAACATCAATCTGTAACCTATTTCTATTATTTTATGTTATATAATGCTCTTCTATTTGTCTAAAATACATTTTGATTATTGCGATATGATACAATGCTGCAAAATCTTGAACTTTTTCTCCAGTCTCATTCTTCTCGCCAAAACCCTGCCCTCTATGCTCTGTTTTTTACTCTACCCTCTCACTACCTACGTTTCCATTCATATTGTCACCAATCACAGCATCTTCATTTCCTGGTAATTCCTTGCATCACCTTTTCCATCTCTTGCCAAAACTCTTCCTTTTCTCTTTCTTTACATCCTACTTGTGGTACATACACACTTATTACGTTTAGTACATTCTCCACACATACCAACTTTACCATAATAATCACTTTTCCCCCTACGTTCCTTATGTCAACTACCTTAATTTGTGTCTCCTCGTTCAATATTATTCCAACACCATTCCTAGTACTAGTCCTTCCTGAATATATTATCTTCTACCTCTTTAATATTTTTTTTGCTTTTTCTCCTTTTCACTTAGTTTCCTGAACACAACAAATATTACTTTGCTTTTCTTCAAAAATTTTTGCTAATTCTTTACTTCTGTCTGTCAACATTCCACGTGCCTATTCTCACTTTATACCTATCTCTCTTGGACTCAGATTTAACCCGGGGTGCAATGGMAATGTTCCTACACCGTTGAAATTACCTGTGTTGGGCAAACCTGAACACATAACTGATRAAACAGCTACCGCACTGGGCGTAGACCGTTTGGGCGAATCGGCCCAAAATATGGTCTGTTTCGGCAAAAAAATATGTACCGTTTGGGTGAGAATTATTCAATTTAAAATACCGTTTGAGTGGTATGAAAATACTTATAATATACACTCAACAATTACTTAAACAAAATCATATAAAAAATAAATAATTAATAAATCCTA